TGACAGAGGGTCACCTGAACTCTGCGAAGTGGGCCTGTGAAACCCATTGCTACCAATGCAGAGGCTGGGCCTGTGGACAGGCCTGATGGTGGACTTGAATCCTGGATCCCTCAAGATCATCTGAGATGAACCAGAGAGAAAGTCAGGTCAACCCTGAAGGTTTTGAGCAAAGGATTCAGACAGAGCCGAAAGGGGACATTGGCTGCTGTCTCTGGGCTGTGGCTGGGAATGTCAGAGGCCTCAGTCCTGTCCCCATGATGTGTGTGTGGGCCAAGCATGGTGGTGTGGGGGGCCACTGACCATGGCCAGCCAGGCTGGGGACTCCATCCCAACCCCACTTGTGAGTGAGGGTCAAAGGGGGTGTCCAGCAGCATCATGCGCCACACGAGTTGAGCAGAACCAACTAGTTTTTCCTCCCAGGATGCTCCTGACCTTGGTCACCATGACAACCCTGAGGGTCTTTCAAAACGACATCCAAGTGCCCTTAGCATCATCAAGAAGGGAGAGGGGTGTGTTCTCAGCAGTGTTAGGATTTACAGAACATCACATGCAGTGGGACCTCCCAGCCCGCTCTGCCTGCCCTCTGTCCCAGCATAAACCAAGACCCCTCCCCAGTTTTCAGTCCCTACCCTGCGGTATTTGGTTGGAATCAAATAAAAAGGAAACCAATTTATTAACAAACCTCTGATTTTTTTAAAAAATTTCATGGGAGGAGCAGGGGCAGAAAGTAGGGATGAGAGATAAGGGCCTGCCGGGGCCCCCAGGGGAGCTGCCTGGCCCCCGCCCCAAGGCTTACCCTGAGTCTGGGGGTGTCTATAGAGAGAGAATGAATGGTGAAAAGTTAGAGGCTGCCCGTCAGGGGCACTCATGCTGTTTCCAGTGCTGTTCCCCTGTATGGACTCCTTTCACGCTGATGACGACTCTGTGAGCCGGATCCTGCTTTGATCCTGTTTTACGTATGAGCCACGGGAAAGTCAGAGGCTGGAGAGCATTTGCCCAAAGTCTCCAGCGAAGGACAGCAGGTGCCGAGAGGGGCTGTGGAACGTGGTTGGCAGAGAGCCCCGTGCCCCAGGCTTCCTCTGGGACAGAGCCAGCAGCAGAGAAGAAAGGAGCAGTGGGGCGCAGCCCACCCCTCCCACACTGTGCCTCTGGGGCTGGCGGCTCCCTCCCCCAGGCCTTGGAGGCGGTTTCCTCTTCTGAGAGGGCCCATCACCTTTCCTGTCTCCAGGGGCTCTGAGAAAATGCAGGCAGCCCTGGGTGCTGGATGTAATACTAATAAGTACTTCATTCTCACCATGATCTCCATCTGATAGATGGGGAAACTGAGGCACGGAGTCTGGTGCCAGGGCTCAAACCCCGCTGGCCTCTGAAAGCCTGTGCTCTTTTGGGAAGGAGGGGGACCAACTCAGAGTGGTCAGCAGAAGCCATGGTGAAGGGCACCCCAGTGATGCTCTCTGAGCCTCAAGTTTCCCCACCTTGAGAATGGGAAAAAGATTTCTCTTCTGCCCTGCAGGAGACACAAGCAGGATAGGGACACATCAGGGGCTGTGGGGTGACTGCTCCTTGCCTGATTTCAAAGAAGACAGGAAGTGGGGGCGTGGGCCATGGGCAGAGCCAGCGGTGGGGAGGAAAGGGCAAGTGAGGCGCAGCCCGCCCCCTCCCCCGGGCCTCTGGAGCTGGTGGCCCCTCCTCCAGGGCTCGGGCCTCATTTTCCCAATTCCTCCTGCAGCAAAGGCAGGCACAATGATTTCCGCGTGTGCCTCGGTTTCCCCATCCACAGGGTTTGCTGAGTCCCTGGTTCAAACCAGGGACAAGATTCAGGATTTTCCCAGTCCCGTCTTATCCTTGGGGTAGGGGGAAGGGAAGTCAGATGATTCAATTTTCTTTTTTGAGAAGAGAGATTTCAATTATTCAGTGTTTTCAGTTTTTAAATGATGGATATAGAAGTATAAGCCAGGGCCTCTTCCCACAGACGTTTACAATGTGAATAGAGAAGAAGACAGACGCCGCTTAATGGGGGCAAATAATTCCAGGACATAAATAGATGTGTTTTGCAAATACAAGTTCTCATGCAAATGTATAACTATAATACTGACTCCATGGTGTTCCAGTTATACGCCAAAGGGCTTTGAGGTGTCCGGGTGTGAAATAAATATCATTACTAGATAAAAACTAGTGGTCCATGTAGCCAAAGAGCCTTTCCAGAGGCATCAAAAGAAGTGGTAGGGAGAGCAGAGGGATATATCAGATGCTCTTTCATTTATAAATGTATCCAAAGTTTGAAAACACTATGGAGAATCTTAGAAATCCCAGCAGTCGGCCCTGGCTGGCGTGGCTCAGCAAATTGAGCACCAGCCTATCAACTGAAAGGCTACTGGTTTGATCCTGGGTCAGGGAACATGCCTGGATTGTGAACCAGGACCTTGGGTGGGGGTGTGCAAGAAGCAACTGGTGACATTTTTCTCTCCCCCTTCCCTTCTCTCTAAAAATAAATAAATGAAATCTAAAAGAAGAAGAAGGAGGAAGAGGAGGAGAAAGAAATCCCAGCCGTGAATGGGTAACATCCATTACATCTACAGGCTACGTATACATCCATTCAGACTGCTTCTCTGAGTGGGAGTATAGAAGAAGTAAATGTCTCCTATGTTGGCTTCCTCTTTCTTAGCCTTTTCCTTTCGTATTTTCAATCACCTCTGCCAAAAGACAAATATAAGTAGTTGTGAAGTGTTAAACTCTGACAGTAAAGCAAAATTAGAGTTAAAGGCAGATGTTTAAGCAAACATGTTTAAACATAAGCTAGTGAATGAAGAACTTCACTTTCAAAGAGCCAAATATTCTGCATTTCTGAGAAATCTCAATCAGTTTCCCCTCCTGGTGTTTCCACCTTGCACTTTGCTGCCACAGCCTAAGTGGATGTACATTTTTGAGTGTTAATCTATCACTAAAAGATTTGAATTAAGACACTGAAATAAAACATTTTGTATCTAAGTTTAAATTTTCTTCTTTTTTTATTGATTCTAGAGAGACAGAAAGGGAAAGAGACAGAAAGGGAGAGAAACATCGATTTGAGAAACATCAACAGATTGCCTCTTGCACATGCCCCGAATGGTGACCAAACCCACAACCCAAGCTTGTGCCCTGACCCAGAATCAAACCAGTGACCTTTCGGTTTGTGGGACGACGCCCAACCAACTGAGCCACACCAGCCAGGCCTGTTACCTACGTATTTTTCTATAATATATTATTTATTTATTTTTAGAGAGAGGCTAAGGGAGGGAGAAAGAGAGGGAGAGAAACCTCAATGTGTGGTTGCCTCTCATAGTCCCTCAACTGAGGACCCGGCCCGCAACCCAGGCATGTGCCCTGACCGGGAACCAAACCGGCGACCCTTTGGTTCACAGGCCGGCACTCAATCCATTGAGCCACACCAGCCAGGGCTATTTTTTATTTTTAAAAATTGTATTTATCTAAAGAAAAAAAATCTCTAGAGAGAGGGGGAGGGAGGGAGAAAGAGAAGGAGTACAGAGATTGATGTGTAAGAGAAACATCAATCAGCTGCTTCTTGAATACACCCCGCTCTAGGGATCAGGTCGGCAACCCAGGCATGTGCTCTGACCTGGAATCGAACCAGTGACCCTTTGCTTTGAAGGACAACACTCAGCCAACTGAGCCATGCCAGCCAGGATTCTATGTATTTTTTTCTTTTAATCCATCCATGAAGAAGGAGCCAAGTGTCAGCTTCCTGTGGAGTGAATGTTCTCAGGGAGACACTGTAAGGCCAAATTGGCCCACTTTTACCCTATTTTGTGTATAATGCACACCCACGCTTTTGTGTGCATTGTACATAGGATTATTATACCCATAGCATGTAATCATTATACCAATGTATAATGTGCATCCTTATTTTTCCGTCAGAAATTTGGATGAAAAAGTGCACATCATACACGGGAAAATATGATATTTCTTGTTCTTTCACAGATTCTACGGTACCACTGTTGTCCTGTTCGGGTTCAGGAAGCTTGTTCAGTAGTATTGCAACATCCTTGTAAGGCATCTTATCTTCTCGACAAGTATCATCAATCAAATCCAAGATCCTTCCATCTCTCTGTACCTCACTATTTTCCTGAAGCTTTGATCTTGTCAAATTGGCACCCAACTCAGCACTGCACCAGCTACTGTGAGAGACCAGATGAATCAATTTTTTTGAAGAAAAATTTAGCTTGTCTGGCTGTTAGGAGAGTGGGAGACACTTTTCTTTATTGAACACAGAGCGGTGGGGTGGGGATTTGCCAAAGGTCACACGGCAAGTCAGAACAGAGCTGACTTGAATGAGATGTGGGGAGCCCCCTCCCCCTGCACTGGGGGCTTCTCAGATGGTCCTACAGAAGGGGAAGTGGTTCCCCAGGAAATGAGAACCACAGAGAGAAGAGCCCTGGTTGGTTTCTCCCGAAATAGTCTTTGCTGGGGTTCCCTGTCCTCCCCAAAGGTGGGGGATGTGAAACATCTCATTCCCCCTAATCGCCTTAGACCACCCGCTACTGCTTACCCGTAGTGACCTCCGGGACCTCAACTGTCTTTTCTACCCGCCCCCACCCGGTGCTCAGACGCGGAACTGCACTTCCGGGTCCCACTTCCTAGTCTTTATGCAGGCTGTTTCTTCTGCCTGAAATGCTGTTCCTGCCTTTGAAGGGGTGTGTGGCTGGTCCCAGGAAGCGATGCAGAAGAGGGCTCCCTATCCCGGCCCGGCCTGCGGTCTGACTGTTGCATGGGCATCTCCACCTTGCTGCCAGTGGCAGGTCAGACAGTCCTGGGAGGCCAGGCAGTACAGCTATTAGGAGTTTGTCCCCCAAGGCCCCCTGCCCTGCGGTCTCTCCTGGAGGGGTCCTGTGGCAGGGAGAGAGCAGGAGCAGCCGCTTTTCTAGGTCAGGGTGACTTGGAATCTGTGCGGGGCAGCGCTGGGAGTGGGGCTGCTGTTGGCGGGGCTGCTGCTGGCTGAGGGGATGAGCTCTGGGGCTGAGGCCCAGGTACAGGTCCTGGCATATTGCCGCCAGCCCCAGCTTTCACCCAGATGGCCTGCCCTCATGGCTGGATATTCTATTCACACCACAATTACAGGGTCCTTCCCACCACCCTGAAATATTGATGGGCAACATTCCTGTCTTGCAGATGAGGAAAGGAGCCCAGAGAGGGCAAGAAACACCTTCAGAGCCACATAGCAGGATCAAGGCTGGGCAGGAGGGCCAAGGTGTGTGACTGTTCTGCTTTCACCTGGGTCTGCACGCTCACCCACTGCTATCAACTGCGCACACAGACACCCCGTATGTGCCCACTCACACCTGCCCCACACCCAGAAGCATGAGCAGCCCCAAGCTACCCACCGAGACCCCCCCACCCCTGGACTCGATGCCCTCACCTGGCTGGCTTGGCCCACATGCAGCAACCTTGGTGAGCCACAAAGAGGTGCCCTGGGTTGAGGGGAAGCAGGTTGCCAGACCCCTCTGAGGTGGCCAGAGCAAAAGGATGGAGTCTCTCATACCGTCTAAGGAATTCTCTGCCTAATGACGGTTTAGCTCAATTATATTAACTTGTTTACTGCGTTTATTAAAAAAAAAAAAAAAAAATGCTGGGCTCACCAGTTTGTAAGAAATGAGGCAACTGGAGCTCAGAGAGGTGCAGTCAGTTGCCCAGGGTCACACAGGAAAGTGAGGATGCAGGGGTCACCCAGTGCTGGGCTGGATGTGTCTCTACCGCTGACTGTCACACTGAGCCTGTTTCCTCATCTGTACACAGGTGCCGTCCCTACCTCACAGGGTGCAGAGCAGGTTGGGTGTTTGTATGATTTCCATTTCAGAGATGGGGACATGGGCCCAAGGGGTGGCATCGCGTGTCCGGAGCCCCATATCTGTGTGCCCCCACCCTCCCTCCCCCTACAAATGAGCTCTGTGCCTGCCTGCTGCCCTCCAAGGCCTGCTGCTCTTGGTCACCTGGGTCCTTCCTCCTTAACTGACACACAACCCCAGGCCCCACCCCTGCCCAAGAAGACCCTGACCAGGGCCTGGTCCCTGCCCACCCACAGGGCTGCCAGCCTCAGCCCTACTCCAGCAGGGCAGCCTCGAAGGCCTCTTCTGGGGTTCTGCAGGGTGGATGAGAGTCAGACAGGCAGTGACAAGACTGGGCCAGCCGGTCCCCCTGCAGAGCTGCCACTCTGCTCACTGGACACTGAGCTGGGCCTGTCCTTCTGCAACCTGCAAGGCCTGGAGGCCGTGCATGCTGTACGGAGGCCTGGCAGCGGGAGGGCCTCTGCGCTGTGCATGACTGGCTCTAAGCGCGGCTCCTGGAGAGCCACGGGGCCCCTGCCCCCCGGGCCACAGTTTCCACCTCCTGAACAGTTTAGCCTGTGTGGGAAGCAGGGACACCCTCTGCTACCACATGGTGTGGATGGCCTGGCATGTCCTGGCCACCAAGGTGAGCCCTACCACTGTCCTTCCTCCTGGAAGAGATTCTCAACCTTCCATCTTAGGCACGACCCACACCTGCACTTTGGGCTTAATTGCTTATTTTGCAACTGATAATGAATTAACACAGTCGGACCTTGGAACCACGTTTCTCCATCACCTGGGAGTCCTGTTAAAACTCCCTCCCTGAGCCCCTCAGGGGTCCAGGAACCTACATTTTAACTCACTCCTCAGTATATTCTGGCTTAAAAGCCACTGAGTTCACCAGCCACAGCCAGCTGACAGCCACCACTTTAAATAATAATAACAATAATAATTATCATCAATCTCCAAAGTGTATTGAGCACTTGCTTTGTGTCACACTGTTCTAAGAACTTTCTTTAAAAAGAATACTCACGCAAGGATATGTTTATTGATTTTTTTTTTTTTTTTTACAGAGAGAAGAAGAAGTGGGGAGAGAGAGGGAGAGAGAGAGAGAGAGAGAGAGAGAGAGAGAGAGAGAGAGAGAGAAACATCCATGTGAGAGAGAAACATCAATCAATTGCCTCCCATACTCACCGTGACTGAGGACTGAACCCACAACTTAGGTATGTGCCCTGACCAGGCATCAAACCTGCAACTTTATTAGTGTACAGGATGAAGCACCAATTGACTGAGCCATCTGGCCAGGGCTGTTCTAAGAAGTTTTAGGCCCATTTACTCATCTAATCCTCAGTCTGACTTTACAAGGCAAGTGTTACCACATTTCATCATAAGATGCTTGTTTTATGTACCACTAAAAAAAAAAAAAAGAAAGGAAAGAAAAGAAAATAAGATTCCTGTTGGGCCCTGCCCAAGTAGCTCAGTTGATTAGAGTGTACTCCCTGTCCCCAAACACAAAGGTTTCAGCTTCAATCCCCATCAAAGCACATACAGGAAGCAACCAATATGCCCTGAGTGGTGTGGTTTAGTAGATTGAGCACCAGCCTGCAAACCAAAAGGTTATTTATTCAATTCCCAGTCAGAGCACGAGCCTGGGTTTCTGGCCAGGTCCCCAGTTGGGGGCATGAGAGAGACAACAGATCATACATTGATGGTTCTCTCTCTCTCTCTCTCTCCCACCCCCCATCTCTCCCCCTTCCCCTCTCCTAAAAGTAAATAAATAAAATCTTTTTTAAAAATAAGCAACCAATGAATGCATAAATAAGTGGAACAACGAATTGATCTTTCTCTCTCTACCTGAAATCAATAAATAAATTTTTTTTAAAATAAGATTCCTGTTAACCCTGACTGGTGTGACTCACTGGATTGAGCATTGACCTGCAAAGCAAAAGCTCGCTGGTTTGATTGCCCGTCAGGGCACATGCCTGAGTTTGGTGCCAGGTCCCCAGTTGGGGCTGTGCGGAAGGCGGCCAGTTGGTGTTTCTCTCGCTCCCTTCCCCTCTGTCTAAAATTAAATAGATAAAACCTTAAAAAAAAGATTTCTGTTAATAAGCCATTATCACCAAGCATCAAGCACATCACCATGTTAGGGGAACCTCGTCTTTTGGTGGAATGTGTTGTTATGGGCCCGTCTTACAGGCTGGAGTATGGGGAAGTTAAGTTGCTGCTGACTTTGAGTTCTTTAGTGGACAGTTCGATACTGGCTTCATCTTAGGGGCCTCTGGGGACTTTATTTTTTTAATGTAGACCCCCCGCAGAGCACCCCACAGCACCTGTAATTTTTAAACGCCCCCCACAAGACGATTCTGATGCACTCTAGACCTTCTAGAGTGTTCTTGTCTAGTTCTGCAGCTGCTGGCCATGCATAACTTTGGTGCATGTGAAATAGGGTTGCTCCTGGCTGAGATATGCTCTGATGTCAAATATACACCTGATCTCAAAGATGTAGTGTCAAAAAAATGATAATGTAAAACATCTCAATATTTTTTATTGATGACCTCTTGAATGATACCATTTTGGATATACTGGGTTAAATAAAATGTGTAACAAAAATTACTGTCATCTGTTTCTTTTCACTTTTTAAAAGATGTAGCTACTGGAAAATTTTAAATGACACCATGGCCTGTGATGTATTTCTACTGGACAACCCAGCTCTGACACTTTTACCAAATGGTAAGAACCTGCGCCTTTGGTAGACGGAAGAGATTAATTCCTACATGCCTCCTCTTCGGTGTAGTTTTCCTTAAAATCATCTTGGTGACTAACAACAAAATTAATATTTAACCCATGCTTCTGGAAGCATGCACTCTGCCTCCCTCCCCCCGGCTCCCCAAAGCCAGAGTAGGAGCAGGCTGGGGTAGGCAGGACGGCTTCAAGGTCAGGCTGTGTTAGTTTTGGGGGGGCTCCCCAGTCAGGCCCTAATGGCCTCCTCTGCCCCACAGGTGCCCAAGCCTGGAGCCAAGGAGCCCCACTGTGGGCTCTAGAACTGCAGGCCTCGCTGCTGAGGAGCACTTCAACCTCTAGCGGCTGTGTGGTCTGGTGCTGGAAGGTGCAGCTGAGCATGGCTCTCAAGCACCTGGAAAGCATTCCTGGCGGGGAGCTGTGCCCAAAGAACCTGCTGCCGGCGATGCCATGGGATGTTCAGCTTCCAGGGCCGTGTCTGCTGCCTTCGAACTTTAGCCTTGTCCGCCCATGGTTGCTGGAACTTCTGAGCGCCCACAAACTGCAGCTGGGCTGCCTGCTCAGCTCTCTGCTCAGCCCTGTGCTCTTGGCCACGCCTTGGCTCCTGGCAGCCCTGCTGGTCCATGTGCGACCCTCCGCGGTCCTGACTTGCTGTGCGCTGCAGGCACTGCTCTGGGGACCTGGACCTCTCTGGGCCACTCCCAGATGCTGCTGTGGGACCGACCCTCCCAGAGTGATGTGTCTATTCCAGGACCTCTACAAGAGGCAGGCATTCCGTCCATGGCTAGGACTGGAGGCAGTGTCTCCACAAAAGGTAGATGCCCCCTTCCAGAAAAGGCCAGATGGCCAGTGGAGAGTGCAGGGGTGTGGACATCCTTCCTCCAATGCCCGCCCCCTTCCTTTGTTGGGGGCTTAGGCCCAAGCCCTCCTCAAGAAGGCAGGTGGACACCCCCGCTTCCAGGACTGGGGGCTAATTGCCAGGATTAGCTGAGATTTTCTGAGGCCAGGACCACCCACCTCTCTTCCAGGTGTGGACACCCTGTCAATGTGTGTGGAACCCTTCACCCCACCTTCCAGTAGAAGCCAGGGTGCTCTTTTGGTGCTGGGGGCTGATGGTTCCTGTCTCCACAAGAGCAGAGAGCATGGACACCCCTTCCGGTACCAGCATGGGAGCTGTTTCTGGCCGTAGAGCGGGCCCTGGTGCCGAGCATGGCCAGTGATTCTTCCCATGTGAACCTTGTGGTCAAGAGCTACTTGGGGTTTCCAGGGGGAGGGGAGGCCCACCCAGTACTGCTCACAGCAGGGGAGTCTGAACTCACCTCTTGAAGTTTCCCATGCCCTGTCACCTTGCCCAAGCTCTCTCTGCCCACTGTGGCCTCCATGCTGTTCCTGTGACATTAAATTCTGTCCAGCCACCCAGCCTTGCGTGCCCTGTTCCCTCTGCCAGACTGTTCCACTCTCACCTCAACTAAAGTTGTCCCTCCTGGGCCCTCTGTAGCTCTTCACCCTGCATGTCTCCCCCTCCACCCCCAGAACACTTATCACAACCTGGAAATATTCCTTCATCTGTTACCTATCATTTGTCCACCTTGCCCACCAGGCTGTGTTCCCTGAGGAAAAGAGCCAGGCTTAACACACAATAGGTGTTTATTAATAGCACAGGATGATAAACTGTTGTGCCAGATTCATCAGGGGACCTGGAGCAGTGAACTGGGTCTCAGTTTATGCCTCAGAAAAATGGACACAGGAACCGAGGGGTCCCAATGCCCTTGCCTGGGGCCTCCAGCCTCGCCTCCTCACTCCCACTCCACTACCATGGTGATTCTGAGGGCAATCTTTCAAACCCCCAGGGATGACCAGGTTCCTCTCCAGCTTCAACTTCCCCCCCATTGACTAATGCTGTCAGATTACAGCAGGGCTCCTACAAAAGCTCTACAAGCTCTGGCCAGCCCCTCCTGCTACACTGCCATCCTAGGAGACTTTTTGGCTTCCAGGTCTTGCCCGTTTTTTTTCCCACTGGCAACACCTACCTCTCTATACCTCTGCTTCAGACTCCTAATCATCCTTCAGTGGCCAAACCCAATGCCCTTACTCTAGCTTGTTCAAGCCTTTGAAAACTGGCTCCATCAGTTAGGTAGCTAAATATCCCATTCAGCCCCCAAATATACTCAAGTACCCTCCAGCCCTTTCCCCATCTGTAAAAAAAATGCCCCTTTTGCAGCCTACTTCCCAGCCAATGAAGGTATGGACGTCAATCTCTGGGAGATGTCTCCAGGCGTAGTCAGCAGGGGGCGCTGCAGTCCTGCCAGTCTTGTGACTTGATCGTCTTCCCAATACACCCCAGCCCCCATCTGCAAGACCAGCCTCCCCCAAGAGTGCTCCTATCCCAGCATGGCATTGTAAGGCCTGCCCCATGGCACTGTAAGGAGCTGCTGAGGTGCACAGGGTCTGCACAGTTGCTACAGGGAATGTGCACATTCATACACACCAATACTACCCTGGGAAAATCCCAGTGGGCCCATTTCCAGCAAAGGTGAGGCCATTCGGGGCGGGGGAAGCCAGCCAGCTAGCCTCTAGCCTTTGCCATCCAGGGAAGGCTTGAGGCAAGGGGCCCAGAGATCCAAGGATGCATGAGGTGAGGCAGGTTGCCACCTAGAGCTGCCTTGGGTCTGCACTGACAGCAGGAAGGTGAGATTTAGAAGAGGCATGGAGGCCGCGGATTCTTAAGCCTCACAGCACATCCCACAGAACCTGGTTGTGGCCACATGAGAGACCAAGTCCTAGTCTTCCCACTCTAGGCATGTTTCCTGTCCAAGGTAATCACTCAGCTCAGGATGCCTGACTTACCTGCAAAACATCCGAGCTCACTGCAGCCCCAAGGTACACCTAGCTACCAGCCTCCAAGCCAACACCACTGAGCCCACACAGGTCTAGATGTAATCACTTTTATTCAGATTTTTGAAAGCAATAGAAGGGTGGATTAATACCTATCTTTCCAAGTTAAGACCTAAAACTGTTTCCAAAACTCCAAATAAGAAACTCCTGCTTGAAATACAAGGATAATCTGTATCACCTTAACCCAGCGATAAAAAAGTAAAATATAAATTTTTATTTAGAATTAAAGCAAATACTTCAGTATCACAAACACAATATTAAACTTCAAGAAGTATATCGCTAATTTGGAGTGAGCGTTTATTTGCACAATTATAACATGCGGACAAACCCAGAAGGGAACAAGCTGGCATTTGCACCCCAGCGCAGCAGTTGGTCACACCACTCGCACAAAGCGAGACACAAAAAGGGGCTGTGGTCTGTGATGATCTGTCAGTGGTGGCAAAGGGGAAGGGCGTAGGCGGCGCAGCTGCTACTCATCCTCATCAGAAGACTCTCTCTCAAACGTGTATGCCATGAAGCAAGCGTCGGGTCTCTTGGGGACAAGGGGATGCCCCGGTCTCACAATCTCAAAGCCCATAAAGCTGAAGGTACGGAGCAGAGCGGCTGTGGGGGGGAAGTGCATCTGAGCCTGCTGGCCTCCAGCTGTACACCCCCCAACCCCATGCACAGACAGCACCCAACATAAGCCTCCAAGGGGCTGCAGCAGTACTGGAGAAGGGGCAGGACAGACTGAAGGTGCCTAGCAGGGTGTGGCAGGGTCCTATAAACAGTATGGCCAAGAACCAAGATTTGACAAGACCCTGGGCCACAAAACTCCACCCTGGGGCCAGGAGAGTGGGTGCCCTCTCCCCATATCCCTGCAGGAACAGCTGACAATGGGTCACCTACCTCTGTCATCACGGTTCTTGTGGAAGCAAATGAAGACATGGTCAACATGCAGCTGCTCCTCAGCAAACTCGAGAAGAACTGCAAAGCTGAAGTACAACCATCAGGATCTGCCTGCCCTGTTGCACTTCTTCTAAAGGCCCAGCCCACACTTTCCACTCTTCTCAGAGGCCTGATTTATAGGGAGCACCACTCTTCCAGTTCTAGACTTGGGGACCCCGGGGCTGGGTCATTCTCTGCTGGAGGAGGTCATCCTGAGCACTGGGCAAGGTTCGGCAGCATCCCTCACCCCATCCCCTCAAATACCAGGAGCACCCCTAGTTGTGACAATCACAGATGTCCCCAGATATGGTCCAGTGTCCCCTGGGGAGGAATTTCCTGAGAACTGCTAGTCTACTACTCAAAAGGGGAACCCTTGCTCCCAAAATGGTGATGGCCAGCCCTTACCTGTCTTTGCTCCCCTCTGGCAGAGCACCGCCTGGGATCTCAATGTAGAGGCAGCTGCTGCTCAGCACCGCTCTCCAGTTAATGTGTTTGGCATCTGTGAGCCTGGTCTGGACGTTGAGAATTTTCGTCTTGTTATTAGACGTTAGTTCCTCTGTTACATTCAGCCTATTATCCTGTGCAAGAAGAGTGCCAAGTCCACACCTTAGGCTGGGGATCCTTCTTCCTCCATGCCACAATTTGGAAAACCCAGAAAAGCACCAAATCAGTCCCCTGGCCCCCTGCAGTGATATCATCAGCATGCAGAGCCTCTGAGACCTCTGAGGGGAGGTGGCCCCAGGTTGGGATGAAAATGGGAGCTTACCAAGGGTTTACTTGTGGCTCGTGGCACAGTAACAGCCTTGACTTCAGCTTGTACCTATGTATCCCCTAACCCTCAAATTATGAAAATTCAATAAAACCATGTAGATAAAATTCCTGGTACAAAGCAGGTGTACAAGAAATCTCCACTGCTCAGAAGCAGAGACTGCAGGTCTGGCAAACAGGTCAGGACAGCCCCCCCTCCCACCTCCCCAAGGTCCAAGGAGCCCAGCTACCCAGATACTTACAGAGTAAAATAAATTAGCTGAAAGATTGTGATCCCTCTGACTATTCCCTCGCCCACCTGGGATCTTCAGGGGTGGGTGAGGGACATCAGGAGCACCACTGAGGCCCTGGACCCAGGTTACTACAGCAATTGAGAGAGACCCTGGAACTGGAAGAAAACAGGTTGATTAGTGGCAGTGGCTTTTACTGACAGAACCCTGAGTTTCAGCTAAACCAAGCTGAAGGCCAAGGCATCCCACAAGTTCCAAGCTAGAATGGTGCCCACCTGGGACCCTACTCCCCCCATCCCAAGTCTGATGCCTACACTCATGAAGGAGTCTAAAATCAAAAGCACACTGGGCTTTAGGGCAGCTCAAAAGCGCCAAACCCTCCTGCCCGCACAATGAGAAACGAGATTACTCAGATGGGTCTTCTTGGATGATGTTCCCTTTCCAGCCCAGAATTCCACTTAGTCTTTTGCCCATGTTACCTTAAAACAAACACAAAGTCTCACCAACCCAATCCTACCTCCTGTCAAGTTTTACTTTCCACTTCTAACTCAGACCACTTCAGTTTCCCCCTTTCCATATTTTGCAGTCTGTAGCAAAGATTGGAAATTATAGCGCGTTAAGAAGCCAGCAACCTTCTGTGGTTGGCCCACCACCAGGCAGGGTGCGCTGCGGGGTGAGGCCCGAGAAGGGGCCCCTCCCGCACAACCCGCCCGCAGGACTCCGGTTGCGTCATCTCAGCAAAGCTGCCCTGAGCCCCGGGGGAGATTTTCACAATCGCGCAGTCGGAGCGCCAGCAGCCATTTGCTGGCGCAGTGTAAACAAGTCCCAAAGTCGCCTCCATTTTGCACGGCTCTCATCTGGGGCGCCCCCAAGCCCCGGCCCATATGAACTGCGACTCAGGATCCCTCCCACCAGGCTAATGTAAATCCGAAAAACTGTGATGGTGGGGCTGGTCTAAAATCTTGCCAACTACCAACTAGCACACCTCATACCGGACCCCCGCCCCCCGGAAACGACACCACCACTTTCAACCAAAACTTCCCTAACGGGAGGGGGCGGCAAAAAGAGTAGGGATCGAAGGCGCGCGTTGGGTGGATCAGAAGCCACCCAGAAAAAAGCCCCGGAAGCCGTCTACGTGGCGCAGCAACGCTCCTCCCGTCGTCGGGGGCCTGGCGCACCCGGACCGACACACTTTGGGGCCCAAAATGGGGGTCTCGAGGGAGGCCGCGACGGAGCGCCGGGCGGGAGGCCTCGCTTGGTTCAGCTTTCCCACCAGCGGAGCGCTACGATTCCAGCGGTCAACGTTAATCGGCCGCACCAGCAAAGTGCAGAATCATGGGTCTCGCGGGCCTGACTCGGCCTCGGGCCAACCCGCCCCTCAAGTCCTCCGCCCCCCCCCCCCGATCGCGGGGCCCTTCCCCAAATTCGACCCCGCATCCCCGCTGTCTCCCAAACCCAACCAGGCGACCCCTATTGCCTGCCAGGACCGAGAACCCGGACTGGTCCAGCTGCCCACTCCGCCCCCACCCCACAGAGAATCCGCCCCACGCGCGATTGTGGCCTCGACAAAGGGGCGGATCTCGCGCTCCCGGGACTTCCGTGGCCCTCCGCGGCCGCCCCCGCGGGCCTGCGCGGCGGCGCTTCTGGAAGCTTCGGGCAGGGGCGGGGCGCTCACCTCTCACTGCTGCGTCCGCCGCGGCTGTGCAGGCTGAGGAGCGGCATGGTGCGGCTGGCGTGAACGGTGGTGCTGGGTTTATTTCCCTCCTTCTCTCTGGCGAAGCAGTGGCTGTTGAGGATCCGCTGCAGGGAGGATTTCACCATCCGGCCGCTGGGGTCCGAAACCAGGAAAACCTCCGCTGCGCCTCACCGGGCCGCCGCCGCTGCTCGCCGTTCGCAAAATGGCGTCTCCGCCGCCGCCCGCTTTTATAGGCGCCACAGGCACGCCACGCCCCCTACGCCGCCGGGAACGCGCCCGCTCGGGGGGCGGCGCGTTCGAGGAACAAGGCGCGCACGCCCCTCTCGGCGTCTGATTGGCGAAGGATTGGGCTAAAAGCTTAGGGTCCCGCCTCTTCGCTCTGTTGTCCCTCTGCGGGCGCGCGGAGGGAGCGGGGCACCCTCGTCGGCGAGAACGCGGCGCGCACGCACACCCCCTCCACCCCGCCCCCACTACTGGGCCGGGGCGGGGCACTGGGGCTGTGGCACGGCGTGGGTCCGTTTTTTGGGTTTTCGGGTTGGCCCAGTCTCTGCCGTGGTCCCCATCGCCGTCGCTAGTTTCCTTTCGCCAGGAGGATCCCCTCCCGCGACATCTCGGAGGGGCAAAGTACCCTGGTATTGGGGGAAGGGGTCCCAGTGCCGCCACCCCCAATAGGACAAAATTATTTTCGTTAATAACCTCCTAATAATGGGTCATAATGATGGCTTTCTGGATTCGGTCTTTTCACGTTTTAAAACAACATAATTAAAAATATTTTCAATGTTAATGATACTCAAATTCAGTAAAATGTTTTGCCTAAAATTTGGACTTAAAGATATTACTCTTTGCAGATAAACTCAGCTATTTCGTGTGTGAACTAAGATTTTCCCCAAGCAAAGCTATTGCTCTTGGTAGTTAAATTCAGAAACGCATTTCACGTAAGAAGTAAATTTTGCACTTTCCATGCAAAAGTACCATTCCTTGTAGGTTCTGTTGTGTTTCATGGTTTTATGTGGTAGGCACAAATAGAAATTCAGAAAGTTACATGGGATTGAAGCAACTCCTCTTTGCTTCTTTTCCTTTTTTCTTTTTTAACAATCTCTGCCAGTAATTTTTATCTCTTTTTTTATTCCCACTCTACTGTGTCTATTTGGGTTAGAAACACAAACTTTCCCCAAAGGCACCTTGAATGATTACAAAGCTTACAGAAATCTTTATTTATTTTTCTCTTTGATTTCGAGATAGAGGAACACATTCTTGTTCCACCCATCTATGCTTTCATTGGTTGCCTCTTAATTTGTGCCCTGACTGAGGGATGGAACCTGCAATCTTCGTGCACTGGGTCAAAGCTCTAACCATCTCAGCCATGCGAACAGGGCCAAAGCTGTTAGAAATTTACTCTGCAAAGTATGTGTCTAGTCCCTGTGTGACTCTGAATTCCTTTCTATGTGGAATGAAGTATTTATTATTTATATAATATTTATAAGTAATGAAGGTGTCTAATTTACAGTAATATACATTATTAAAACTAAAAAAAAACCCAAAGCTGTAACAATTACAAAGATTGTACCAATCCAAGAATTTTCCCAAAGAATTTTCCGAAAGAATATTTAACCAATGACATTGCCTAGGATTGAAGCTCATAGGGAAAACATAAAGCAAATGATTTTCAGTTAACTTTATAATTGTTTCCAACTTTTTTTTACAGAGGCACACACTTTTATTGGAGGGCTCACTCCCACCACCTTAGGGTGCTTCTTAAGTATCCTCATTATTTTCTTTTTTAAGATTTTATTTACTTATTTTTACAGAGAGGAAGGAAGGGACAAAGTCATTGATGTGCAAGAGAAAGTTCAATTGGTTTCCTCTCCTAAGTCCCCAACTGGGTACCTGGCCCACAACCCAGATATGTGCCCTGAGTGGGGGATTGAGCCAGCGACCTTTTAGTTCACAGGCCAGCACTCAGTCCTTTGAGCCACGCCAGCCAGGGCGATCCTTGTTATTTGGAGGGTTAGAATCGTTGTTATTATTTTGGCCTTGTTTTGTTGAAGCTGAAGAGCCTCAGGGTTTGGAAATGTATTTTTTTTCCTCTTGGTAGTTCTCCAGTGTCTTACCCAGACAGGCGATTCCGGGGCAAGAGTCCAGAATATGGACCTCCCAGTGGCTGGCCACTGGTCACTGGGTCACGCTATGTTTACACCCCATGACTGAGGCCAGAAAGTGACCAAGATCACAGCTGACCCCCAGCACAGTGAACTTGAGACTGTGTCCTTGCAGCCCCCAAGGGATCTGTCTAGTGGGTGGTCTCCCAGATCTCTTCATCTGCCAGGCCAGAATCTGGGGCATGAAATGTAGGCAAAACCCAGACCTCTTCAGTTCTCTGGGAACCAGCAGAAGCCTCAGAACCAGAGACGCAAGGCTTGGGGTAGGGAGTGTTCTTTTTTCATTGGCAGGCCATGTGCTGTTTCTGGCCAAAGTAAACTTTAATTTGCAATCAGTCTGGGTGGAAAAGGAGGGAAATGTAGCCTCTTGGTTTAAAAAAAAAAAAAAAAAAAAGAGGAAGCAGGTTGCCAAAAAGCAAGGGTGAAGGAAGAAAGGAGTTTGTGTGGAGTCAGGGTAGGGCAGGCTGGGGAAAGTCACTGCAGGGGCTCAAGGTGTTTGAGGGCTCCCAGCCTGGGGAACGTGGCGGGGAGCAGTGTCATGTCACCCTCATGGGGACAGTGGCCTCTGGTTCCGGGACAGCTCCCTCTGCCTGCTGTCAGGGAGGTACAATTGACCAGGATGAAGGGTGCGGTAGGTCGTCTGCCTTTGCTCTCTATGTGGCAGTGGTGGGGAGACTGAGAAACCTGCCACCCCTAAGGGTGTAAACACTGAAGCCAGACCAGAATTTCCTTCCAGATTTTGTCCCCCACTGAAAGACTTGCCTGCTGTTGGATCTTGGTTATGGAGCACTCAGCACTTGGTTGCAGAGGCAGAAATTAATTCCTACTATCTCCATGGGGCGAGGTTACTCTCTGTGAAGACATCCTGGGCGCTGTAGGCGTTAACAGCATCCCTGGCCCCATCCACTCAATGGCAGCAGCACCCCCACTCGTGACAGTCACAGATACCCTCAGACATTACCCAGCGCCCCCACCCAAATGTCACTTTCTCTTTCTTCTGTCTGTGAGAGGGGAAACCACACTCAGAAGATGAGAGTGGATAAAAGGTCAGAATCAGCACAGGTGCCTGGCCCTGGCTAAGCTTGCTGGGAACTGAGAAAAATCAGACCACTGGTCGGGGGTGCTGTGCTAGGAGAGGAAAGTCTGTAATCAGGGATGGCTTCCTGGAGGTGGTGAGAGCTGAGCCATTAGAAAATGATATGGGAAGGGCAAGTCAAGGATGGAGGGTCCATGCCTGGGGTCCAGCCGCAATTGGTGCAGCAAGGTTAGGCATGTGGACGTGTGGGTGGGCAGAGGAGGCCAGGGATCTCACTATGACTTTAAAAAATGATTCCCAGAGTGTAGTCAACTGAGTAATAGCCCCCAAAGGTATCTACCCCTAATTTGTGGGGCCTGTGGACATGTCATCTTACGTGGCAGGGGGACATGGCAGGTGGAATTAAGTCATGGCTCCTGAGACAGGGATGACTCTGGATTACCAGGCGCCCTGCATCACCAAAGGTCCTCAAAGGAGACAGGAGGGTCTGAGTCAGAGATGGAAGAGGCTGCTCTGTTGATTGTGAAGAAGGAAGGGGCCATGAGCCAAGGATGTGGTGGCAGGAGAAGCTGGAAAAGATTCTCCCCTGGAGCCTCTGGGGGGACCAGCCCTGCCCACACCTGGGTTTAGCTATGAGTCCCCTGTGTGGAATTCCTGACGTCAGGACTTCAAAATAATAAATGGCTGTTTTAATCCACTAAATTCATGGTGATTTCTTACAGCAGCCACAGGAGAGTCATACATAGGGTGAAGGAAGTATGTCACTGGATGGGTGACATTTGGTGTGTGCATTTCACAAAACCTGTCTGACAATGCAATTAGGCCTTTATTTTTCATTCAATGTAAACTTCACAAAAAAGTTAATAAATTTCGCATAAACATGAAAGGCACACACATGTTCTGACTGATATCCAGCACATGGTGTGCATGCTGGAGTGGTTCTATGCCTGCAGCTGACTTTGAAATGTAATTTAAAAGGTGAGATGGGTTGATGAAGCCATGGACAGACAGGTGGGACCGAACAGAGCGAATGCAGAGGACTATTACCTCAGTGGTAATCTCAGTGGTCAGTATATGAGCCTTCGCTATAAAACTCTCTCAATCTTTCTGGATGTTTGAAAATTTTCATTAAAAAAACCTGAAAAGTTAAAATAAAAAAGATTAATTGGATCAACTTTCACCATGTTTATTGTTATTTTCAAGCCTTGCCTCCTAACATTATTCTCAGGAACAAAAACTCTTAAGCAAGCAGCAAGAAAAAAGGGAAGTAAAGAGAAATGACTAGTTTTAAGTTTTTACTTATTTATTTTTAGAGAGGGGAAGGAAGGTGGAAGGAGAGGGAGAGAAACATCGATGTGAGAGAGAAGTATTGATTGGTTGCCTCTCCCACACTACCTGGCCCCAGGACAAACCCACAACCCAAGCTTGTGCCCTGCTGGGAAGTCCCACTGGTGACCTTTCTTTTTGCGGGACGACACCCAAACAACTGAGCCGCACCGGCCAGGGCCAGAACTGACTAGTTTCAATATGCGTCAAGCAGACTGGAGAGAGGCAGGGCCAAGGAAGGCTTCAGGCCACCACGATTTGGCAACCAATCCACATACCCATCTGCAAGAGGTGATAAGGTGTCCATGGCATTGCTACAGCTCTGTACACTCACAAGCCAATGACTAGAGGGCATGCAGGGCCTATCTCAAGCTGGTGGTTGTTTGCTTTTTTTTTCAATTTCTATTTTTTTGTGCTCCTCAATACATTTTTCAACATTTTTCGTTGTTGTATTTGAAGTGTTTTTACAGAAGTTTCATGATAGAGAAAAATGAAGATCAGTAGGCTGAGCCTGAACGTAACTGCTCTGCCATCTATTTCTTGGCCCACATTGCCCATGTCTTTTTTTCACCTATCTTTGTTTCTACAGAGTTTTAATTTTTTTTTTTTCAATTTGAGAGACAGTGAGAAACATCAATTGCTTGTTCCATTTACTCATGCATTTGTTGCTTCTTGCATGCACCCTGACCAGGGATGGAGCTCACAACCTTTGTGTATCAGGATGATGCTCTAACAAACTGAGCTACCTGGCCAGGGCTGTTTCTATATAGGTTGATTTTTTGTTTTTGTTTTTTTTTTTAAGATGTTAGTATTTATTTTTAGAGAGAGGGGACAGAAGGGAGAAAGAGAGGGAGAGAAACGTTGATTGGTTGCCTCCTATACACACCTCCCCCCGTCCACCCCAATCTAGGACCAAACTTGCAACCCACACATGTGCAATGACAGGGAATCGAACCAGCAACCTTTCAGTTTGCAGGCCGGCATTCAATCCACTGAGCCACACCAACCAGGGCAGCTTGTATATTCTTAATATGAACACACTGCCCTGAGCTTTTAACCTGACGGATGTGTATTCCAAATATTTCATATACTAAATACCACATTGGTCTCTGCATGTATAAATGCCAGCTATAATAGTTTCTGTTCTATTTGATTAAAGGTAGTTCTTAAGATAATTTTAACTGCACTAAAAACTACAACAGTTCAAGAATCTATGATCATAAAGAAACCAAATACAAATACAACTATAAAAGTAAGGAACAATTATAGCAATGCAAACTTTTAAACTAAAAACTACATAGAAATGCAATTTAAAATCACAAACTCAAGCCCTGGCCAATGTGGCTCAGCTGGTTGGAGTGTCATCTTGTAGACCAAAAGGTTTTGGGTTCGATTCCCACTCAGGGCACGTGCCTAGGTTGTGGGTTTGGTGTTTCTCATATCAGTGTTTCTCTCCCTCTCTTCCCCTCTAAGCATGTCCTCTAGTGAGGATTAAAATATTAAATGGTAAACTCAAATTTAGGTAACACTCAAGATGAAAAAATCAGTAGTAAATTCTACTAACACAATGCTTGCAAGGATTTAGAAAAGGAAATACATTTTCTGCTGGAATAATGGTATAAACCAGATCTATTTTAAGATTTTATTTATTTTTAGAGAGAGGGGGAGGGATGGAGAAAGAGAGGGAGAGAAGCATCGATGTGTGAGGGAAATACCCATCCGTTGCCTCCTTGCATGCACTGAAATTGGGGACCAGCCTGCAACCCAGGCATGTGCCCTGACTGGGAATTGAACCAACAGCCTTTTGCTCCATGGGATGACACTCAACCAACTGAGCCATGCCATTCAGGGCCATGAATCAGATCTTTAAATTCATGGAACAAATCATCTGTCTCTGTCCTCTTGCTCAAGAAATTAGCACTGTTAAATGTTGCTTTATGAAACCTTTTCTTTCAGTTAAATCATATGCAGGATAATTTTCAAATACCTTTTTGCAAATATGCTTCATTACAACTTCCTCCAAGCTACCGCTGGCCAATAATTTCTTTACTATTTCCTTAATTCTGTGTATATTTTTAATATCTGTGCTTATACTTTATATGTGTGGTAGCCAGGCACAAAAGGCCACATGGTATGTGATTCCATTTATGTGAAGTGTCCAGAATAGGCAAATCCACAGAGACAGGAAGTGGGTTACTGGTTGCCAGAAGCTGGGAGAGATGGGGGTTTGTATAGCTACTGCTATTGGGGACGGGGCTTCGTTCTGGGGTGATAGAATGTCCTGGAATTATTATAAATAGAAGTGATGGTGGCAGAACTGTACAAATGTACTAAACACCATTGAATTGTACACTCTCAAAGAGTAAACTGTATGGTGTGTGAATTGTATCTCAATAAAGCTGTTACTTTTTTTTAAATGGCAAAATAATTTCCCATATGGCTGGGCGAGGCTAGATGGTGGCATGTTTGATGATGGACTAAGCTAAAGTGTGCACGTGTGACTAGGGGGCATGACACAACCTACAGTTATCCAGTGGTTATTTACTGTGGAGTAATTCATATTGACCTCGCTGCCCCCCTGGGAGGAAGTGACCCCACTTTCCAGATGAGGAAACTGAGGCTTCTGAGCTGGTGCCTTGCCTGGGCCAGCCAGCAGAGCCAGCCTCCAGGAAGCCCTCCCTGATATCCCTGGGCACCACCTGCGGGGGTGGCCACACAATTGGTGCTTCATAAAGTCTCGTTGGCTGACAGAATCCACACAAGGACGTGAGGGGAACGCCCTTTGTGGTGCGCTCACTCCTAGGACCCCTTTTTCTGATGCTCAGAGATAAGGAGGAACATTCCCAGGTTCACCATGGCCAACCTGACAGTGACTCTGTGCTGAAGTGGGGGTGGGTCACTCCTCAGCCAATGCCTTGCCCTCCTGCAAGGGGTGGGGGGAACGGCCCAGCTGCGCCTGGCCTTCCTACCCCTCCTGCTTTGGCCACAGAGCTGATTGGCCCACGCTGCTGCCTCTGGCCACCTGTTGCTGTCTTTCCTGGGGCCACCCTCCATCCAGTCCACCAGGCGCAGCGTGGCGGCTGTGGAGTAAGTAGGGAAGGGGGAGGCCTGTGAAGAGCTGGGGGTCTCCAGGGGCCTGGGGAGGGTGTCTCTGAAGTCCGTCGGGGTCTCCAAATCTTGTGGCTGCCCCTACACACCCAGCGGTGCACGGCCCCTGCCCGTTGGGTTCCCCAACGGCCCTGCTCCAGCCCCAGAGAAGGGTCACCTTTCTGCCCAGGGGTGGGACACATTTAACACAGGCAGCCAGAGGCACGGGGACCCCAAAAAGCAGGGCTTTGGGAAGGTGACAGACTTGGGTTTGACCTCAGGCTCTGCACGACCTCTGGCCAATGCCTCCGTCCCCAGCCTTGGTTTCTTCCTCTGCCCTGTGGGAGCAGAGGCAGTGAGAAGAGACAGGGACCCCAATGTTGGGAGAGAAGGGCCCCCAGGGCCCCCTCACCCTTTCCCTGCCAATTGTGGCCAAAGCAAGGCTGGTCCTGACTGCTGGAACTTGAGCTTCTAGATTTAGGGGACCAGAAAGGAACTGGGCGCCAGGTATGGCAGGTGAGGTTGGTCCAGAGGGGGAACTCATTGAGGCAAAGGCCTGGAAAGGGGATGGGCCACATGCTGGCCTGTCCCTTGGGCCTTGGGCAACGGATAAAAATAGTCCCTGGTCTCAGAGAACATGAGCCAACCCTGGGGCCCAGGGTTCTGGTTTGGGCTCCTTGCTCATCTCTTCATGACTTTGGGTGGGTCCCAGCCTTTTCTGGAACACAGCAGCTTCCGCTGTGTGCTCAGGGATGCTGAGTGATGGGGAGAGGCCCAAGGCAGGCCTGGGGGGCTCAGGGAGGGTGCCTAGGCCAAGCCCTGAGTGAATCTGAATTTGCCAAATGAAGGGGGCTCCCCACAAGAGCTGGGGGGAGGCAGAGGCTGGATAATACTTGTACTCAGAGCCCCACACCCCAGGTCAGGCCCAGGCCCACAGCAGGGGCTCAGTAAATGCAAGATTCTCTTCCCTATTCCCCCTGCCCCCACAGCTCAAGTCTGGACCTGCTGCTTCTCAGACATCTCCATGACAACCATGGCCTTGGAGGAGCCGGATGGAGGCCTGGGCAGTTGCCAAGCGGGTGAGGACCTCTCTGCATTGGCTGATCCCTGCGCAGGCAGGCCATGGGAGAACAGGGCTCAAGATACCCAAGATATCCTGGGGGGAGAGCTGGCAGGATGAAGCCCGTGCCCCTGCTCTCCCGTTGAGCCAGATAGCTCACCTACAGAGACCAAGATTTGGACTCTTACATAGGCTTAAACTGTGCTCCTGTTTCCCACTTCTGACCCATTGGTGCCTCAGGTGTCTGTAAGGAGCGTCCCAGAAAAGAGGGGCTGAACCACACAGGTCAGGGTTCCAATCCCAGCCTGCCAGGGAAGTGCTGTATGCCTTTGTGTGAGACTGCTTATGAGTTTGTCTGCTTTCCCATCTGTAGAGTGGGAGCAACCACTTGCCCCTTGCCTAGCAGAGCCGGGTAGAGGGTGGGATTAGCCTGGGGATTCCTGCGATCTTGAGTCTTCCTCTTTTCCCACTTAACAGCGCCACCCAGACTGGCTGACTCCAGCAGCTGGCCCCACGTGAGTAGCTGGGGCCCTTGAGTTTCAGCCCAGGACTTCCCTGGAGTCGGGATACCCTGGCCAAGGAGGGTGGGTCTCTACAGTGCACGGGAAGGGCTTGGGCTCCTCCAGAGGAAAGGCAGGAAGGAAACACCCCCGGTTACTGGTAACTCCCCACAGAGTTCTCAGGAGCCAGAGGCTGAGGGGAGCCCTGCAGGCGGAATGGATATCGGACCCAAGAAGACAGAAAAGGAGCCTGTGGCCAAAGTGGCCCCAGGACTCAGCAAGGAGAGGCTGAAAGCAGGACCAAGTCGGTTTTCAGGAGGCTGGGGTGAAGTGGGGGTGGGGTGGGTATGGACTGACAGGGAGTAGCCCCTGGGTTGGGTCCTTGGATCTGGGAGTGGGACAGTGGGAGGGAGAGACAGGGTGTCCCGGTGTGGGCTTCTGGCTGAATGGTGTCCAGGTGTCACAGGCATAATTAAAAGGTCTGGGAGCCTCTGCTAATTCATAACACCAGCTAAGGTGCTACTGCTACTAAGCTTCAGCTAATTATCTAGACTATTCTCAGGATCCCAGGGAAGATACCAAACTGTTTCCCTGCCCAAGGCTGCAGAGATAGGCAGGGCTGAGCCGAGTTTAGGGTGCAGGTCCTCCTCTTGGAGCCGCACCCAGCCCCACACTTGCTCCCAAAGCCCCGCGGAGCCCAGCGCGCAAGAAGGCGCAGGTTGCGCCGCCCCCGAAGCCGCCGCCCCCGCCCCCGGCCCTGAGCGAGGAGCTGCCCTGGGGAGACCTGTCGCTCAACAAGTGCCTGGTGCTCGCCTCGCTGGTGGCGCTGCTGGGCTCTGCCTTCCAGCTGTGTCGCGGTGAGCCTGTGCCCCCAGGGCTGGGGTCTTCCACGACCCCTCATGGACAGGCCCACATCACTCCTCCATCCTGCCTTGAGCGCCCCCTTACCCTTAGCATGGATCTTGGGCGGGGTCCTCCTCTTCCTTCCCTCCTTGTGCACCCCTTGTTTTAGCACCTCCGTGCACCTCCAAGGACGGCCCTGGGCCCCTCTCTCCAGTATGGCCTTTTAGTGGCTCCTTCCTGCCCCCCCACCATGGACTTTGGTGCACCTCTTTCCCCCGTGAACAACTGCCCCCCTCCCCCCCCCCCCCGGCCGCCATGGACCTGATCTTACACCTTTGCACGCCCAGGATGGGTTGCTGGCTCTGCCTCCCCGCACCACTTCCCCCTCCCCCCACCCCCCAGCCGCCCCCCGCCGGCCATTCTGTGCTGTGAGCCTTCCTCTTGCGCCAGGGCGCTCCTGTAGCCCGCGGAGAAACATGACCTGTCCCTTTTGCAGCCGGAATGAACATTTGGAGGGAAGGGGAGCCCGCAGCAGCAGGGATCCCAAACTCTTTCGAAGAGCTCAAGTCCAGCCTTCAAGTGCCCGGTGGACTTGCTCATTCCCTTCGCCTTTTCCCGAGGAGAGGGTGTTTTAGCGGTGAGGGCTGGGGTGGTTGGGCTCTTGTCCAGGCTGATTTGCAGCCTTCCTGTCTCCTCCCAGACGTCGTGGTTGGGGAGGCGGACGCCCCTGCACCTGTCCCTGAGCCATGGGTCCCGCCAAGCTTGCCACCAAAGAAGCCAGTCTCGCCCCCGGTAAGAGTTTCCTTCAACGACTGTGGGCGGTTGGACACACATTCAGAGAAAGAGGCCTGGGCCTGTGGGTTTGAGCTGAAACTATCACCCTGCACTCTCTGCGTTGCAGCTGAAGCCCGTGGCCTGGGCCCCCTCTTCGGGACCCTCTGAGCCCCAGGTGGAGGCAGAAGAGAGGACCGAGGTTCCTAGGAGCGCAGAGGCGGCAGAAAAGGGGGAAGGGGAGCCTGGGGAAACCGCTGCAGAGGAGCGTGCACCCCTCGCTCAAGGAGAGTCCAAGGAGAAGCTGCGTAAAGAAAGGCCGCGGAAGGAGGAGAGGCCGCGGAAGGAGGAGAAGCCGAGAAAGGAGAGGCCGCGGAAGGAGGACAAGCCGAGAAAGGAGGAGAGGCTGCGGAAGGAGGAGAGGCAGAAAAAGGAAGAGAGGTCGCGAAAGGAAGAGAGGCGGAGAAAGGAGAGACCGCAAAAGCCGGAGAACACACATGCCGCGAGAGAGACCCGGGAACCCTTACCCCAGCGCTGGAAGGCACGGGAAGGGGGCCATCGGCCTTGGGTATGGGACTCCGGAAACTCTGAGCACAGAAAAAGTAGGATCTGGGCCTCCCAGAGGCGCCCTGACGCGGAGAACTGGCCTCTGGGCCGCCAGAAGCACCGGGCCGGCAAGGGGCGGGACTGAGCCAGACCTGGATCCTGAAGCAGAATCCTGGTACCTCTTCTCGGAAGCACTGGGTTCTAGAAAAATAAAGCGAGTGCTGCGGCCCCCACATCGCCTGCTTCTTTGCACCTCGACCCGGAACTGGCCCAGGGCCTGAATGACCGGGTTGGGAACTTCAGATGGGGATGGGGGAGCGAAGGGGGTAGGCAGTGCCAACTGGGATGACCCAGTCCTATGCGCCAGAGAACTTGTGGAAGAAGGTCCCCGCCTGCCCCCAAACACGCACGGACACACCAGCCATGTGCTTGCAGTCTTTATTGGGGTAATGCTTGGGGTCCGAATAAATATGGATAGGGGTGCCAGTCGGGGCGCAGCGCGGAGTTATCGGCAGCCGCACTCGGTTGCTACCATGTTGGGCACGTGGTGCGCGCTAATGCGCTCCTCTGACAGGGTGATGAGCAGCTTGCCTGCGTAAGCCGTGGGCACGCAACAGGGCGGGCGCGCCAGGGCAGCCCCACGGGCCTGCATCTTGAGCAGCAGGACCACGTGGTTACCATAGTGTGGGTTGCGGTCGGACTGCGGCCACCCACACAAGCCCTGGCAGTTGTTGGCCTGGTACGTCTCGGGGATGAGCACAGAGCGCTCTGCACGAAGGTCCACGCTCAGCTCTCGAAGTGCGCACATCCCGTCTGCGGCTGCGGCCCCGGCCCCCGCGCTGCGCTGTGCCCGCGCCGGCCCGCTCCACTCCCGCCCACGCCACTCTGTGCGCAGGCCCTGCAGCGCCTTTAGCAGTAGCAGCGCCCGCAGCGGCCCGCCAGGACCACCTGAGTCCCCGGGGTCCTCAGGACACAGCTCGAGCAGGCGTGCCAACAGCGGTGGGGCAGCGGGCGGCAGCCCTGGGAGGCCGCGCAGCTCAGCGGCAGCTGCCTGTAGTTCCGCAGCCACACGGCGCGCCAGGTCCGCCGTCCAGGGCGAGGACACGGGACCCTGCAGCGACGTGGGGTCGCCGGAGGTGGCAGAGGCAGGCGACAGCAGCAACAGGGGTTCCTCGCCATCAAGCAGGCGCTCCAGTGCTGCGGGGTCCGACAGGTTGACCAGGCCCTGCGGGAAGCTGGCCAGCGCGGCAGGGTCTAGAGCCAAGCGCGGCAGCGAAGCCTGGGCTGGGGGACCCCGCAGCGCGCGCACCAGGCGTGTGAGCGTCTCCAGGAAGGGGTCGGCGCTAGGCGGCAGCTCCTCGGGCTCCGGGGTCGGACTGGAAGGCGAGGGGTTCTGGGGTGGGCTCGAGGCTAACTAAGCCGTTCCCACCTCCCCGCGTCCCTGGCTGGACCAGCACGCACCTGAGTGAGGGGAAGGGCAGAGTATCCAGCCGACCCTGCGCGGGCATGGGCATAGGCCCGGACCGCGGCAACAGGAGCAGGGCCGGGGTCATCCTCGTGAAGCAGCGGGTGTCGGCGCCAAACAGCAGCGCCTGCAGCTGGGTGGTGCTCAGGGAGGCACCTGAAGGGAAGGCCCTGGGCTGAGTCAGGGGCTGAGGCCCAGGGCAGCCGCCCCCACTCACTCCCTCTCTGTCAGGCCTACCGTCTCCACGGTGCCGCAGAGTTAGGACGAGCCCCCGGCCGTGCCAAGCCCCCGCGGGATGGTCCACGGCCAGCGCCAGGTAACTGGTGTCCCGGGATAGGCAAAGACTCTGAGGAAATAGGGGCTCAGCCTGGCTGGGCGCGGTGTAGGATGCCTGCTCCACCCACTGCCCTTACCACCCCTTTCAAGTTCTACCTGGGATGCCTGCAGCCTTTCCCTGGAGTGCAGTTAAAAAAAAAACCCAAAACCTCCCCCCCCCCGCCCCCCGCCTCCTGCTATGGGTGAGGGCTCCTGGGGGTGGGGGAATGCCCTACACAATCCTGATACCTGGGCGCCCAGCAGCCCGGGTCCTGTTACAGTGACTTCTGGGCCAGGCCCGGGGTACAGCACCAGCAGCGCCAGCCCTGCGGGGCTTTCTCCAGGTGGAGGCTCCTGGAACCTCAGCGAGGGTGTTGGCTCCCACGTCACTGCCACCAGGGACAACGGGAAAGGGGGACAGCTGAGCCCTGAGGCCTGAGCCCCTTGCCCAAGCCTGTTCTGCAGGGGAGAGCTCCATACCAACTGGGAGCAACAGGACTCTAGTAGTAGAGTGGCTTTGACATGCCTGAATGCCAGGTGCAGGGCCTTGCCCCGACACAGGTGGGAGGACTGACAGGGTGGGTGGGTGGGGCTGCTGCCTGGCATCCCTGAACCCTTGAGGTCTCTGGGTTTGGGGATTTCCTGGGTGGAAGTCCACGTGTCACCTGGGCAGCCCCTTCCCCAGTGTATCTGAGGTCAGTGGCCCCAGAAACGGGCCATCTTTTACTCATGCTTTGTGGGAGACACTTTTCCACTGGACATTTGGGAAAGCTGGCCCTACCCCCACTGGCTCCTTCCTGGAGTGGGAACCTTCCCAGGCCCTTGCAGGTGGGGTGGTCTGGGAGACACAGCAAAGATAAGGGCACACACAACTCCCCAACTCAATGGAGCAAGGTCTCAGCCTCAAACCCCGCCGGGTGCCCCCCCAACTCCGCCCCAGGAGACCAGGGAGAGGCCTGGGCTCTTACTTCGGAGAATGGCCATCATGTAACAGGAATGGTGACTGGGGACCACAGCAGAGTATCCTGCCCAGTCTCAGCCATGGGCCCCCACATACCTTCCTCCAGGTGTAGGACCACCAGCTGCTGCCCACGTGGCTCCCCTAGCCACGCCTGAAGCCACTGAAGAGGGAGCAGGGCAGTGTGGTCATGGCTGGGAGTGCAGACCCCAAAGGTGGCCAGGTCACGGGGCCCCCAGCGGGCCTGTTGCAGGGCCTCCAGGAAGGCCTGCTCGTAGCCCCTTAGGGCTCCCACCACCCGCAGGTGGGCACTGCTGCTGTTGCCACCCCCACTCAGCGCAACCAGGCACAGGGAGTCTTGCTGGCTGCTTGGAGGCCAGTCCCAGTCTTGGTGGAAGATGAGACCTCTGGTGCCTGCAGGGGTTTCCCCAGGTAAGGCCTCTTCTCTGGGGGTTCTGGCCCTCAGCAGGGTCCCCATTGCCCACAGCAGGACAACCAGCCGAGACAGAGGTGCAGCCCACATCCTGGGAACTGTGAGAGGCTGGGCCACCTTGCTTATATGGGCAAGCCCAGGGTGTTTGTGCTGGAAGACAGCCCCTATCATCTCCCAGGACCTGACCTTGGGGGCCAGCGCCTTAGTCCCACTGCAAGCCGGGGCCTCCTCAAAGCCCCTTCTGTCCCAGCCCGCCGCCTATCTCCTTCCCACCAGTGATAGAAAAGTATGGCCTGTGACCAATGTGTCCAGCTGTCCTTGAGGTTTTCCCTCTGGAGATGGGAGTGGGAATGTGAGCAGGGAGTGACCAGCCCAGATGGGCCAAACATCAACAGCTGTGGAGTTGGATGTGGAGGGGGGCAGAGGGGTAGAACCCCCTCTCTGAGGACAGCTGGGCTCCGAAGGGCACCAGTTGTCTGGGTGTGTTCAGGCCACCAGGAGGGTAGGCCTAGCTAGAGTCCAGTCGTCTCCAGAGTCAGTTGGGGCTCTGAGTCTTCTGCTCACTCAGTCTGCCCCTGGGGAACCAAGGGGACAAAAGAGCACAGATCTCTTGGCCTGGAAACACCAAGGACAGAGAGTACCCTCCGCTTTGCTCTCCTCCCACTAGATGGACCCCAGACCCACTGCTGGCTAGCTGGCTGGCAAGGTCTGTGATCTGCCCTGCAGTCTCTAGGGCAGAGCTGACATGTTTGGCCACGTACACTCTGTGTCAGTAGGCCACACTGTATCCCAGTCTGACCCTGAACCACTCCCGAACATGGCAGAGGGGTTGCCACTGAGCGCCCTCCCCACCCACTGACACAGCAGTGCACCCAGGTGTCTGGGGAGGCTGTTTAATGAGCTCTGGGGACATGGCACAGTCCCATACAAAAACACTCAACTTTGACCCAGTAGGAAAAGACAAAAACAGAAGAATAAACTTGTAGGGAGAGGGGGCAGCTTTTTAGTTGGCTGGGGGAGGGGGTGGAATGTTCCCAGGACCCTCTGAAGGCAGTGGGGGCCTCAGCATTGGGGGCATGGGAGCTGGGGGGTGGACCCCAGGATTGGACGGGTGAACTCCAGGAGGCTGGGGGTGGACCCCAGGAGCTGGAGGATGAACGCCAGGGGGCGGCGGGTGGACCCCAGGAGGCTGGGGGTGGATCCCGGGGGCTGGGGGGTGGACCCCTGGGGCCTGTGGGTGGACTGAAGAAGCTGGCGGGTGCACCCCTGGAGCCTGGGGGTGGACTCCAGCAGATGGGGGAGGGTGGACACCTGGTGTTGGAGGATGGACTCCTGGGGCTGGAGGGTGAACCCCAGGAGCAGGGGGATGGACCCCAGATGATGGTGGGTGGACCACCGGTGCTGGGGGATGGACCCCAGGAGCTGGAGGGTGGACCCCAGATGTTGGTGGGTGGACCACTGGTGCTGGCGGGTGGACCCCAGGAGCTGGGGGAGGCAGCTGGGGAGGGCCTGGGGGCCCTGAGGGTGCAGGCCCACTGGGCGGCATGGGGGGTAGAGGCAGGCCTCCTGGTGGAGGCGGAGGCAAAGACTCGGGCAGTGGTGGTCGCGGAGGCAAACCATTCATCAGTGGGGGTGGCGGTCTCTTCACTCCAGGAGGCCCAGCGGGCAGGCTTGGTGGGGCAGGGGGCTTTTCCATCTTAAAGTGGAACTGAAGGAAGAACTGGAAAGAAACAGAAAAGCTGAGTGGAGTCCCTTGTGGCTTTTGGTGGAGAGACGGGGCAGCCAGGGCAGCTGACAAAAGGTCCTGGAATTGCCCGGACCTAGAGTGACTTACCTGCTTGGTTTCCCGGTTCCAGTGAGTCCAAAACTTGCCCTCGGCTTTGTCAATCTCCCTGCTCGGCACCTGTGAAGGGGAGAGGGAGGGAATGAAGATGGGCCTTAGGGACCCAGGGCTCAGGTTCAGGCAGGACTGCCCCTCAGTGTTAGAGCAGGCCCAGAGGGGAAGGACTTCGTGAGGGGATGGGGCTTGGTTTGGGGGTACCAGACACAGCTTACATTCTAGCTCTGCTATTTAGTGACCCCACCACCCCTGAGAAGTCCTAATTTATGTTGTTTTGTTCACCAATATCTTCCCGAGCACAGGACACAGCTGAAAAATTCCTGACTGGCCTGGCATAGAAGCATGTCACTGCTGGATACATGGGGGCTCTGCTCTTAGTGGACACCTCCTCAGGATGCCCCCTCCCTGAGACAAGGCCCTATCGGGAAGAGCACCCCTGGATTGGGCCGTGCACGCTACCTTGAAGGCAATGGTCTCGTAGGGCTCAGCAGCCATTAGCAGGTACTGCCAGCGGCGGTCTGGGGGCTCAATCCTCTGCTCATAGGCAGACATGAAGCGGTGGCGCGGCATGATGCCATCAGCGATCTCAGGATAGTCGATCTGGGGGGACACAGCCAAATGGCAGCACTGCCTTCTAGGAGCCCTTCCCCTCATGACTAGACCCCGGGCCTCATCTCACCTGGAAGAGGAGACTCTGCTGGCCCATCTCTGTGTCCCTCTGCTTGGTCACTGCAACACAGGAGGGTCTCAGGTCCAGGCCAGCTTGTTATCCTCCCAGAGCTCAGGACCCCAGGGAGGTCACCTGGCTGTAGCGCACCAACCAGGCCTGGGAGGGCTCTATGCTGTAGGTACCACCCACCTGACACCACACAGGTGGTGACAGGAGAATGGCTCTGCGTTACCCTGACCCAAGGCCTGGGACAGCAGTGAATAGGGACTGAGGAGGGGAGACAACAGGTGTGTAGGCCAAGCGAGGCCTATCCTCTTGCCTCCAGGAGAGGGCGCCCTCTGCGTTAGAGCCCCGTGGCTCCCCTGCTTCTCTGCACAGCTCCAGGGCACATCAAACACCCCCATGAGCCTTCCAGCTTCTCCCTCTACACTCATGAGAGAGATCACAGCCTATCACATCCAGAAGGCCTTTGGTGGCCCCAGGTGGATCCTGCTATTGTAGCCCTTGTTCATAAGTAGGCCTGCCCAAGGGCCTTTGCACACTATGTCCCATCTGCAGTGCCAGTCACACACAGGGCACTCCCACCTTTTGTTAGAACACAGTCCCCTATTTCCAACTGGGTCATGTAACTGGCTTTCTGAGTCAGGCAACACAGAGCCCTCTTCCCTGCCAACGGTCCTGTTGAGTAAGCAGCTGCCACACAGGCCCTTCTCCTTCCACTCCACTTTCTCTTCAGGTTAAGAGAGGCCAGGACCCAGTTCCAAGCCCACAGAAAAGGGGCATGCCAGCCTTGCTGCCCTTCCCACACATCACTCATCTTCACTAGGAATGCAAAGAATTACTAGCTCCCACAACACCCTGACAGGCACACAGGGAACGTGGCGTCCACAGGATCATGTCTGAGAAAGTTCATATTGGGAAGGTGGGGCCCAGGCAGGGTGAGTGGTCCCTGAAAGAAGCGAGAAGTATGGGCCAGCCTACCTCCAGACAGACTTACCTTTATAGCCTGGGCGGCCAATCTTCACAAACTTCTTTACTTCCACTTTGACCTTCTCTGGTGCTGGCTGGGCAGGGGCCTCCTTGGCCTCCTTGGCCGCTCTCCGGGCCCTGCAGGCAGGATGGACACAGCGCTGCAGCCTCTCTCTCCCCCTCTCTCTCTCTCTCTCACACACACACACACACACACCCCCACAGAGCCAAGGCCACAGGCCCAGGTGCTAGAGGCCATCCTGCCCCCGCATCGACCTTGGAGAGCCTCTGCTAAGTGAGGGAGTTGGGGAATAAGGATCAGATGGGGGTTCTGGGGTATGAATGGAAATGGATGGGACTGGCATGGGCACCTTTCTCTTTTTGCCACATTTCCCTCCATCCCTTCTTAGGGAGCCTTCTGAGAACCCCCACCTCTCCATTTACAGAACCTCCACTCCTGCCATGTAAGGAGCATGTCCTGTTCCTCCACCCATCCACCTACCCACCTGCCCACGCTGGACAGGGCTCAATGCCCTGATCACAGGCCGGGCCAGCCCCAGACCACCTCTGCATCATCATCTGGCACGGCTCACAGAGATGTCAGAGAAGTGCCAGCTCCTGACCCGGGGCCTGAGGCATTGAGCTGAGTGTGTGGGTGACATACTCACAAGTTGGTTTGGTGCTTTTTCCCCTGGGTGTGTGCGAGGTAGCTCCCCTAGAGTGGAAAGGAACACATTTTAAGACAAAGTGAGCAGGGTTAAGGACTAGATGTCCTTCAACCGGGCCTGCTTTCCTTTCTTCCTGCTGGGAGCAGGGCCCCAGTGTCCACAGTGCAGAAGGGAGAGACCCTGACATACAGACTGTTCAATGGCGTACTGTCCATGGTTGTGAACAAATTTGAAAATGAAGCGAATGTTCAATATGGGGAAAAAACAAACAGGACCTGTTCACTGTGTATGGTGAGCCTGATGTGAGCACTTGTCAGACTTTTGTATGGATGATCTTACAGCTGTTAAAGGAAAGGAACTGAAGCCACGCCACTACATCTCAAAACCCAATGTCAAATGTTCCGGGACGTGCCCCATGCTCACAGATGCATATCTGTTTAATAGTGGCACACACCAATGGTATTAGAGAAAAATGGACAAGCAGCAAATCCACAGCAGTGGTGGCCTCCAGGGGGACTGGGAGTGCAGGACGAAGGCTGGGGACAGAAGGGGCTCAGCCTTCTTTTGGTGTGACCTCATAGAAAGATGCATTTGAAGTTGCACTCAGTGAGGGAGTGGTCAGGAGTCAGTGGCAGGCCCCAGGCAGAGCACCTTCACCACTGGCCACATTTTGAATGACATGTCAGGTTAACAAGAGCCTGGAGGATGGGTGGGAGTAGAGCAACCTGCCAGAGAGGTTGTTCGCAGGGATAGGGAAGGGACCTTCAGGGATAGGGAGGGGATGTGCAGGGAGCAGACGCTGAGAACTCACCTCGTTGTTGTGAAGCGTCAGGCACAGCTTGCATTCATAGGAGCCCAGGTGGTTCTTCATGAAATAAGGGTCCTAGGAAAGAGGCACAGTCCATTAGAGCAAGGAAGATGGAACCATGTGGCCCTGCTGGATGGGAACAGTGCTTGA